TGCGCCACCACCACCTAGCCTGAGCCTTGACTTTTGACTCTTGCTCCTTTTCCTGTTTTCATTTCCCTTAAGCTTTTTGGAAGGTATACACTATGCTGAATTGCTTCATAAAAAAGGCAACAGGCCACAGAAACAGATTCTACCAAGACCGTGTCCTGAAGTGTTTATGGAAGCAGACTTCACAGCTCCTGCTGCCTTATTATAGACCTTCCAGACTACCCATGTTTGGTGACAGGTAGTCGGTTGGTTACTGCCTGTTCTTTGCTCCTGAAGGCTTTAAACAAGAAAGTGAGGGAGTCCAGCATAAACAGTAGTTCTGGAATCCTGGGTCTACTGTGGTGGCTTCATCAGCCAGGAATTGTCCTCTTAGTATCTGGCGGTTTATGGAAACTGTGTTCTTCAGCTTTCCTTGGTTGCTTACCCCACAAAATGGCTCTATTGCCAGCCTGTCCCAAATTCCTGGGCTTAATTAACCCTCCTTCTAAACCCCCCTAGTAGCTGGGGCTACTGATAGTCACCCTGTACCTGGGTTTTTCCATGCTCATGAGAAGTCCCTCATATTCCCATCTTAAAAATGAAGACTTGGTTCAGGCTGGGGCAGTGACTTGCTAAGGGCTTCCAAACAAGTTAGTGGCAGAGGCCAAAGGCTAGTCTCCTGATTTATCTGCTTTGCTTTTTCTGCCAATCAGTGCTAGGCTGGGAGAGTTCCTGCTCTGAGGGGCAGAGGCCACATACCAGAGACCCCTGATACCCATGCCTTATCTCCCAACCCTTCCAACAAGCTAGGTGAGCCAAATACCACTCAGAGGTTACCAAGGCTTTAATTAACTGTCAGATCCAGTCAGCTTCTTGCCCAGATTGACTCCTTGTGACTTTTTACTGTTTTCTTCTCCTTTCCTGAATATATTATCTGTATTAGCTCTTATCCCCCACTAAGCAGACATTCTGCCAGTGAGCTGCATACACCCCCAACCCCTTTGGTCTCTTTTTTATTGGCTCACCCTTGCTGCCCATTAACCTCATATTTTCTGCATCCTAACCAACCCCAGCCACTTCTGTGGTTTGGCTTTTGTCTTGTGTTCTGGGACTCTTGATGTATGTGTTCTGGAATTCTTATGTCCAGACACATGTCACATGAGTTTCCATCTCTGTGTGTGCTTGCGCTGGCCCCTGGTTTCTGTAATGGGAATAATCTTCATGCTTTTACCCAGAGAACTAAATGGTGAGGCCTCAGTGTTCTAGTTTGCTTTCTATTTCCATAGTAAACACCAGGTGGGAAGAAAGGGCTTGTCTCATCTTAAAAACTGTCGGGTAATAGTCCATCATGTAAGGAAACCAAGGCATGAATTTAAGCAGGAACCTGGGGAAAGGTGCCTACTGTTTGTTTCCCATGGCTTGCTCAGCTTACTTTCTTAGACTACCTGCCAAAGGTGACACTGCACACAGTGAGCTGGGCCCTCCCACATCAACCATCAATCAACGAAATGCCCTAAGGACATGCTCACGGGACAGTCTGATGGCAATCCCTCAGTTTAGATGCCCATTCCAGATATTTAGGGTTATGTCAAGCTGAAAAACGCTAACTAGTACATCTTGTTTCCTACATGAAGAAATTATTTTCCAGAGGTGTTAGTTACTTGCCTCTGATGTCCCAGTAAAGAAAGGCAAAGCCCTTTCTCTGCCTTCAACTGCCTCTGTGGGCTGTACACCAGCTGCAGGATTCAGACTCTAGCACAAGCTTCACCATCTCCCCTGCCTGCCCTCTGCATCCTCGTTTTGTAATGTAATCCTTGAAGTCTGACCAGAAAACTTCCCTTCTCCATAGTCTCAAGGCATCTCTATTCTTTCCCCATCACTTCAGATCTGTCTCTTCATAATAATAGCAGTAATGAGAATAATAGCAGCTCTTGCTAATTGAGTACTTGTTATGAGACAGGCCTGCATTCATTCCTCATGCAAACAGCATCTCTGCTGGGAGTTGTTATCTGAACAAAAGAGGAAACTGAGACCCAGGTCAGGTGACTAGATATCTGAGGTTACATAGTAGATGATCAATTTTGGATGCTAGCCTAACTCTTTAAGCCTGTTTTCTTCTAGATTATTCTAGCCACTTCCCAGTTGCTCTGCATTTTGTTAGTCTGATCTAACCCTGCCCAGACACTATTTCCAGAACACAGATAGACTCCAGTTACTCTTGAGCTGAGAAAACCCTCACTGTATCATGGGTATGCCAAGTTTATACAGGATAAGACCTTTTCAGCTCTGTCCTGACTACCCCTCACCAATTCCTCCCAACCTGTAGCCTAGCAGATGGCTGTTTCCTCCTCAGCTGGTAGCTTTTGCATTAGTTGAGTCCATGCCTACAAGCTGGGGTCAGCTGCTGTCTGGTGGCTACTCTGTTCTGATTCTAGTTTTTGGGTTTCCACATGGAAGAGAAGTGGGAGGGGGAGAGACTAAGCCTGGAGTGGAGGGGACTTCATTTGTAGTCCCATGCTCAGGGCTCCTACCTTTCCCTCAAAGGAGCCCTGTTCTCCGGGCCTGGCTAGGTTGGGTTTGGGAGTTCAGTAACTTTGGACACTATGCCTAGGAATCCTACGCTAATGTGAAACAGTGGCTACAGGAGATAGATCGGTATGCCAGTGAGAACGTCAATAAACTCCTGGTAGGCAACAAGAGTGATCTCACCACCAAGAAGGTCGTGGACAACACCACAGCCAAGGTGAGCAGGGCCAGCCCTGGCTTTCAGGGGGCTAGGGCTTACTTCCCTTCACCCCTTCTCTCCCTTGCTCTTAATTTCTTTTTGCCCCTTGGCAGGAATTTGCAGACTCTCTGGGTGTCCCCTTCCTGGAGACCAGTGCCAAGAATGCCACCAATGTTGAGCAGGCATTCATGACAATGGCTGCTGAGATCAAAAAGCGGATGGGGCCAGGAGCAGCTTCTGGGGGTGAACGGCCCAACCTGAAGATCGACAGCACCCCTGTGAAGCCAGCTAGTGGTGGCTGTTGCTAGGAGGGGCACTTGGGGAAGGGAAGGGACACCTTCTCCAGATGATGCCCCTGGAGGGGGCAGGAAGTGCCTCCCTCTCCTAGGGCATTTGAGTCTGTGGCTTTGGGGTGTCCTGGGCTCCCCATCTTCCTCTGGCCCATCTGCCTTCTGCTCTGAGTCCTAGTCCTGTCAGGGCCCCCTTGGAGGACATGCAGAACCTGTGGCTGGGGTGGTCACAAGTACTGCTCTGCTGCTGCCTCTAGGTACCTTGAAAAGATGCCCACCATGCACCTTTCTTTGGAATGAGGGCTCCGCTGCCTGTCACTCACCCCTTGTATGCTGCACTGGGTTTCTCTTTTCCTTTCTTCCTTCCCAATAGCTGAGGGCCTCCCTGCCTCTGCTGCCCCTGGCTGTAGGCAGTGGCCGGGGGATCCGGGGCCTCAGATTCAGGGTCCTGCATCGGACCTCAGGACAGGTGAGGGGGCTGCAAAAGCCCAACAGCCCACCTTTTCCTCACCCCTGCCTCGCTCCACCGCTCCCACACTCAGATTGAGCCGTCCAGCTGCTGTTGGGTCTTGAGCACAACTAGGGTAGGTGGGTGGATGGCGGTGCTGGGCCTGTGTCTCAAGCCCAGAGGGAGCCTGCTCCTGCCTCCCCCTGCCCTGCCAGAGCCAGGCCCATGTGCTGCCTGCCCACCGAGCCCCTTTGTCCCTGAGAAAGGTGGAGGCGGAAGGCCCACCGAGCCAAAGGCCGGGCACCAGCCTTAACCCTCACTCTGCCAGCACCACTTCCATTTCCCTGAGGCAGCACATCTGGCTTGTTCTCCTTCCATTCCTCAGAGCCTGAGGGGGGGCCAGACCTACTTCTCTGGGGAATGTAGGGGCCATTTGGGGTTGTGGGACTCTCTCCCCCTCCCCACTCAGAATGCCAGCCCCCACCCTCTGGCATAGCTTCCTGCAGAATACCTTTGGTCATTACCTAAGAAGCCATGTCCTTTGTGCTGTCGTCTTGCCAGTCTCGCCCTATACCCTCCCCACCCTTCCAGTGTGTATTTAAATCCCTGGGCTGCCCCTCTGGGAGGGAGCCTCTTCTCCCAGGTTCCCCTTTGGTGTCATGTCAGGCATTTTGCAAGGAAAAGCCACTTGGGGGAAGATGGAAAAGGATGAAAAAAAATAAATTTCCACTGGCCCTTGGATAAGCCGAGGGTTTTTGCAAGGAAGCTGTGGTGACTTGAGTGGTCTGTGGTCTGAGTCCTGCTTTGAGTTTCTGGATGGAACTGGAATTCAGAGATTGGTATGATACATAGGGGGTCTTAGCTCAGACTGCCCTAAGTTTGCTGGTAAAAGCCCTTGACCCACATTCTAGGGCTGGCAAAGCCTGCTGTGCTGCTGTGGGATGTCCCCAAGGGCCCAGCACGGATCTGTCAGAGGGAGGCAGGCTGAAGGCCATCGGGTGATCCACCATCAACACCCATTGTGATGGCTTGCAAGCCATGAAGTTGGGCAACAGCTGGACACAGGGTCGGGCATTGGGCTCCACAGATGTACTGCATCGTGCGTGGTCTTCACCTCTAGTCCCCCTCTTCTGCCTTCTCAGGCTTCAAGCCAGATGCCAGCTATCCTGAATATGACAAATGCTTCACATGAGGGCCTCAACCAGTTTCCACCGCCAGCATTGTATGTGAGGATTGGAGACGAAGTACTGAATGTGGCTGTGGTGGGCTGGTTGTGTGAGTCTTGAACCAGGAACGTGTGTCCGTCCGAGTCTTCCATGTTCTGAGGTGCACGAGTGGTGGTATTGGGCCGTCCAGGCTGCAAGAGGATGGCGGAGGGGCCACTCTTAGTCTCAGCCCCGCCCGAGGCCGCTGCACGGCGGCCCCGCCCCCGGCTCCGCCCCACCGGCTTCGCGGGCTGGAGAGCTAGGGAGCCGCGGGCGAGGGATCGCAGGATGAGCGATCGGGGCCCGGGCAGCCGGCAGCGGACGCGCCCCCCGAGCCCCACGGCCCGCGCCCCGCGGCCCCGCGGCCCCGGTCCTGGACGTGCCGCCCGTGTCCATCGAGTTCCGTGGGCCATGCCCGGCCGGCCCTAAGTGTGGGCCGGGGGGCGTCCCCTTGCGCCCAGACCCCGCGCTGGCGCCCCCCGGGCCGCCGCCCGGCGCGGGGGCCATGGCGTTCACCTTCGCAGCATTCTGCTACATGCTCACCCTGGTGCTGTGCGCCTCCCTCATCTTCTTTGTCATCTGGCACGTAAGACTGGGCTCAGACTGGGGGCGGGGTGGGGGGCAGTGGGCTTAGGGAGCAGCCTGGGGATGGGGCGGATGGTCTCAGAGCCCCGGGGAAACTTGAAGGGTCTTTTCCACTATCCCCCATCCATTGGTTTCTGTTCACTCCCCTAGCCCCGCGCCATTAATACCCCTGTTGTCGGCTTCCTTCCCCGAGGGTAGCCCCCCTTCCTTCACCGCCCCCGCCTGTCTGTGGGTATGTCAGTAGGCCCTGACCCTCTCCTTGCCTCATCCAGTCATTGGGCAAGGGGTAGAATTCTTGATCCTTCTACATCCTTATCTGTCCACCACCCCACCTCGTCTGTCCATCGGGCAGTTTGTGTGTTACACACACACACACACACACACACACACACACACATACACACACACCTCCTTTGTGGGTTTTTCCAACCAGTGTGATGGAGCCAGTTGCTATGGCAACTGCATCTGTTTACAATACCCACATATCTTGGAACCCATTAACTCTGTCCCCTCCCGGACCCTTCTCTGACCCGAGGGACCGATTTGAAGTAGCCCCAGAAACCCAGTCCCCACCTTGCCTCACTTTGGGTAACCCTCCAGTTCCCTTCCCACTTTCCAGCTTCCTTCCCATTCCCCACACACGCCCTTTGTCTTTCATGCCCCCCACTCCTGTTCTGCCCTCACTCTGGCCTAGCCTGACTCTTCAGAATGTCTCTGTCTCATCTCATCCTGATAGCTTATCCCTAGACAGGGTTCTTCTACCTACTTCTCCTAGGCTTTCCCAAGGGCCCCCTCTACCTGGGCCCTTTCTCCTCACTACAGAACTATGAGCCTCTGACTCACTGTTGGGGTCACTGCCCCCCTCGCCTTTCCAGCTTCTCCTCTGCCTCTGCTCTCTGAGGTTTCTGCCCCAAATGAGTCCCATCCAGGCCTCTGTTGTAGCTACTAGCACTCTCTATGTAGCTCTGCACACACCTCACTGGCCCTCTTCTAGGGTCCTGTTATCTGCCCACACCCAGCCTGCTTCCCTCCCTCCTCACTTTACTGCCTCCTTTCTGCTCTCCCACTCCCTCTCTTCCTGGTGTGTGCTGTGCTGCCTGCTCCCTGGTGGTCCCGCTCTCTGGGAATATCCCCATCTCTCCTTTTGTCCTTCCCCTCCTTTCTCTTTCGTATATGCTATACCGCTACTGTATGAAGATCCTAAGCCAAGAGTATCTCCAAACATGTCCCTGTCTCTAGCCCTATCTCTCACTTTGCTCTGGTCGTGATGTGAGACTTAGTTGCCTTTTGCTTTTTCTTGCCCTCTGTTTTTCTCTTCTTCCATCACCTCAGATCCAGTATGATCTTTCTGAGCTTCCTGTCCCAGGCTCAGGGCCTTGGACAGTCCTTTTGGGGCAGGAGAGCTTGGGTCCTAAGAATTAGAAAGAGTGGAGACACACAGGAGACAACTGGCTCCTAAAATTCAAGAAGCCCACTCCCCACTCGTATCCCCTCTTTTTTCTGATAGGACCCCTTCTCAGGAGATTCTCAGTACAGCCTGCATAACATCTGCAAGGGAGTCAGGCTCCATAAGACCCAGACTTTGCCCTTTCAGAAGGCCGGAGCTGAGATGGAGTCTGCTAAGGTTTAGAGCAGCACCTTTGTTCTCTCAACAGACCATTCAGGAGCCCCTATACTATGAGCCACTGTGTTTCTTCAGCCTTTTAGCTGGGTCATCTTAGCTAGCTGGAGCAGTTTCCTCATCAGGAAAATAGGCTTGTAGACATGATGTCTGGGACAGGAGATGTGGGTCTCAATCCAAAGTTGTTAAGTAAAACCTTCTGAACCAGGACCCCAGGTCCTACTAATCACTAGGCAACCCTGGTGAGTGACGTGTGTCAGCTGTCACAGTGGGGAATTGTTTGTTCCGGGGTGAGGGAGACGCTGAGTCAGCGCCAAGCAGCCTGGGGGGTGGGAGGCTCGACACCCGCTGCCTGCTGTTGGTGCCAGCTCGGGGGCAGACAGCCGGCACCCTTCCGCCCCTGCTGGACCCTGTTGCTGTGCCTATCAGGCAGGCAGCTGCCCAGAGTCAGAGGAATTGGGGGAGGGGCTCCAGATGGCTCCAGTTCCCTCCAGGAAGCCCATGTTCTTTTCCTCTGAACCGTATGGGGTCTAGGATGTTTGGGGGTGGTGGGCCTGCTGCCTTCCCTTCCCCCTCAGTCAGGTTTCTTTGCCAGCCTACCTCCCTCAGGTCACCGGCAGGTCCTTCCAGTCCCACACCATCATCTCCTCAAATATATGTTACCTGAGGAGTTTCCCCACTTCTGCATACCCTGCCATCCCTGGACACCACAGAAGGCACTGGAGACCTTCTACCTCCTCCCCCCACCACCACACAGGCTGTTTGCAGCTGGCACTGGAGAGCACTGGGATGCATCTCCACCACTCCGTTTCCATGGCCACCACCCTTCTCACCTAAGCCACCATGGACCCCTCCCTGGACTTCAGTAGGCCCTTCAGTCACCTCCCTGAGCATGACAAAGTGGGTAGTAATTTTAACTGGATTACAAGTTTACCACTCAGTGTCTGTGTGGCCTTGGACAGGATACCTAACCTATTTTCTCACCTGAAAGTCAGAAATGAAATAATACTAGCACTTAAGTCATCAGGTTGTTTCAAGCTTTCAGTGAGCTTTCAGTGAGCTGATAGAGCCTGTGTCTGTTAGCCAATCCTAACCTAAATCTGATTGTCCCACTCTAGGACTCCCTCTACTCTTGTGTTAAACCTAGTCTTGGCTGGCCTTGCAGGGACTGGCTCTGTTAACCTTTTCATCTGCCTTGCATCCGTCTCTCCTCTCTTCCCATTCTCACACAGCCCAGCCCCAGGAACCATCGAATGTTCTTTCAACCTTCTGTGCCTTTGTATCTGTTATTACCACTGCTTGGACTGTGTTCCTCCCATTTGTTCACCAAATGCCTAGTCAGCTTGAACCCACCAACCCATATGGAGTCCCATTCTACCCCTCACCACTGATCAAGAGTTCTCTCCCCAAACCCCTGAGGTGCCTCCTGGACAAGTGCGGTGTTGCAGCCCTCCAGGGTTCAGCATGTGCTCAGCATGAGGCCTGGGAGAGGAGAGGCCATGTCTTGAAATGTATGGGGAGTGCAGTAGACATTAGGGTTCCATTGTTGACTGCTGTGTGAACTTGAGCCAAGACCCGTCGTTTTACTTCTTCACTTTGCAATAAGCTCCATATGTCAGGGTCCCCAAGTATAAATCCCTATCCCATTAAAGTTCAGGCATGTATGGTATGTGTGTTACCATCCAGCTCCTCCAAGAGGCCCATGTTCTTTTCCTCTGAGCCATCTGGGGCCTGGGGTGTCCAGGGTGGTGGTGGGCCTGCCCCAACCCTGACAGGCACATGCCCCTACCCCCTACCCCCAGATCATAGCCTTTGATGAGCTGCGGACTGACTTCAAGAACCCCATCGACCAGGGGAACCCAGCGCGGGCAGTAAGTGATACATGTGCTGTGCTGAGGTGTGTCCGTCCGTTTGTCTTTGTCATGGGTGGAAGGTGGGAATGGGAGTCGGGAAGATGAGGGTGCGATGTGGGGGGACGGTGAGGTGACCCTGCCCTTTCCCCAGTTCCCGCCCTCGCAAGCACCTGGAGCTGGCTTCAGGGCTCGGCATCCTTCTGGTGGGGCAGCCTTTTCCAGGCTCCGGGCCGTTGCCATGGAGATGCGGGTGAAGGCCCCTCCATGGCGACAGTCACCATGGGGACGCGGCTGCTTCCTGAGAGGCAGATACCGCAGAGTGCTCTGGCGCCATCTGGCGACCACATGTGGGGCCATGGGAGGCGCCCTGGTTTCTGCTCCTAGGCCTTCCTTATCTAGGCCCTTTCCTTTCCTACAGCGCGAGCGTTTGAAAAACATCGAACGCATCTGCTGCCTCCTGAGGAAGGTCAGTGTCAGGGCAGGGGTCAGGAAGCTCCTAGCTAGTGCTGCCCTCCCTCTTTGTAGCTGGCAGGGAGGCCTTCCTCTTCAGCCTGTTTGATCCACTTTGCCGCCTAAGAGGGCGGGAATGGCAACCTGAGGCCTTTTAGTTCTCAGATCATGGTGGGTTGGCAGTTCCTAAACCTCATTAGCCCTCTGTGCATTGAAGCTTGGGTTGGTCCGGGGACCAGGCCTTTGACCTCTCACCCTCACTCCCCCAGCTGGTGGTCCCGGAATATTCTATCCACGGCCTCTTCTGTCTGATGTTTCTGTGTGCAGCAGAGTGGGTGACCCTGGGCCTCAACATCCCCCTCCTCTTCTACCACCTCTGGAGGTGAGGGGCAGCAGCTACCTGGGGGAGGGTGAAGATGGCAGCAGGGCAAGATGAGGGTCAGACCTGGGTGGCTAGAGGGGGACTCAGGCCTCCCTCACCCCAGGTACTTCCACCGTCCCGCGGATGGCTCTGAGGTCATGTATGATGCGGTCTCTATCATGAATGCTGACATCCTCAACTACTGCCAGAAGGAGTCCTGGTGCAAACTCGCCTTCTACCTGCTCTCCTTCTTCTATTACCTGTACAGGTGAGGCTTTGACCACAGCAGTTGGAAACTAGGCAAGGGGTATCCTAGACGTCAGGCTCTCAGTTCCCAGTCTCTCTTTGCCTTTGAGGATCATACACAATCCAGGGCATGACTGGGAAGGGTGGTAGGCTTTCTCAGGACACATGTTCACAGCTTCATCTCCCCCACAGTATGGTTTATACATTGGTGAGCTTCTAAGGGTAAAGCCGGCCAGGGAGCAAGCCCAGAATGGACCGGACGCCTGTGCACCCCTAGCCCTGCCCTTCTGGCCACAGAGGCCTCAGCCCTGGGGAGACAGGGGGCACTGGTGCCTCCAGCCTCTCCACCCCCACAACTGCTGCTGCGGGGACCCCCGCCTTCAGAGCTCTCCCCCTCCAACTAGGGCCAGGCAAAGCTCTAAACAGGGGTGGGGGCTCCTCTGCTAGCCTGCAGCTAGGCATGGCAGTTGTCCTGGAAGGGGCAGGACTTCCGGGTCTTGTCCATTTCAGGGGAACTTGGGCCCTGCCACCAGGCAGACCTTGATCTTGGAAATTCTGGGCAGCCCCCCTTGGCCCTCACCCCAAAGCTCCCCCTGAAGGTGGGGGGCACCTGCACCAGGAATGAGCAGGCTCAATATGGGGGCAGCCCCATCCCTAGTCTGCCCTCTCCCCTCCCCAGACTTCTCTTTCCAACCCTATCTCTACTTATCCCAAATCCAGCCCACCCTGTCCCTTGGTCCTATTTGTTTTCTATGTTGCCTGGAGGAGTCCGGCACCCCCTTCCCGGCCGTTTGTGACAAAAGATGAATAAACTACTGAAAACAAGCCCCAGTTCTGCTCCTGGAAGGTTAGGATGGGGTCATCTGAAGGGGGTGACCTGGACCTAAATCCCCAGCATACCCAGTCTCACTGTGCTAGCTCCAGGCTTTTCTCAGATGTGTCTGAGGCCTTGGAGGTCTCCTTGGCAGCCACTCTTCCACCCTCCCTTTGCAGCTGTGTCTGATGCAACCCTTCCAGCTGTTTTTCAAGGCTGTGTAAGTCACCTCCAGGGTGCTCTCCCTGGATCTACCTACCCTTCTCCTAAACAGCCCCCAACTGAGGTGGCTCCTGGACAGGGGAGACCCAGAGGTATCTGTCCATGGCTTCCCTGTGGGCCCCAGGAACCAGGGTCAAGCCAAGTCAAGGAAACCAAATCTTCAATGTATGGAAAAATCAGTGCCACCTGGGACCAGGTATCACCGGACCAAGTGGAAGGTCAGCCAGTATATGATGAGGGGCTGGAAGGCAGCTGCTCCCAGGGTCAGGTACAGCTGGAGACGCTGCTGAGGAGCTGGGCCCCCCATGCTGTCAGGGCCCAAGGCTGCAGTCCGTAAAGAACGCACCTAGAAGAGAGAAATGCTGAGGCTGGGCCAGGGGGGGAAATATGCCCCAGAGTTGACCCAGCCGAGAAGAGGGGAGGGACCAACCCACACTCACAATGAAGTACATAAGCGCGGATGATGTCCAGGCCAGAGCCACGTAGTAGCCATCGCTGCCAAAGAGCAGCCCTGTGATCACACTGAGGATCATCCTGGGGGGTGCAGGAATGGACAAGTAAGGTCCAAGCCCGAGACTGGCCCTATCTACCAGGACTTAGAGCCACCCAACACCATGACCCATGACACCAGGCTGTCCCTATAAGGAACCAGACTCCAAATGGATCTGCAAGGTTCAGGACTCAGTCCCAGGACTGGAATCTCTTCCCTGGGCTCCCCAAGATAACTCATAAATCCTCAACCTCTTTCAAGTAACCAGCTACAGGAGGAGGCTGTTGGAGTAGAGCTGGGGGATGAGATGGGGTAAAAGCATCTCTAGCTGCAGCTAGAGGTTCAAAAGATGGGGCTGCAATCCTTCAAGCTACTCTCAGCCCACAGACACTCACCCCACATATTTGTAACCGCTGTAGGCCAAGAGGTGGAAGGTACTCAATTCACTGCGTACAGTGGCCAGGTAGAGGCCCAGAAGCAGGGCCAGCACCTCCATTAACATCCACACCAGTGCTGTGCTCGCACACAGGCCCAACACCTCGGGGGAGAACCTGCAGCCATGGGAGAAGGTAGGTCAGAATGAGCCATCCTGTAGCAGGAATGAGGTGAGAGGCTAAGGGTAGCATAAGGGTAGTACTGGGTGAGCTGGGACCTGTTACAGGATCTGACACAGATTGCCTATAAAGGAAGGGAGATAAGCCAGAAGGGGGGTTAGCACCAACCTTTTCTGAATGCCCAGTGCCGTGCCAGCCAGCAGCACATACGTGATGAAGGCCATGGCTGCCAAGAGAAAAGGAAGTAGTTAGTCTGGCTTCCTCACCTAGAGCCCCTCATTAGGCATTCAAGTCTACCAATATTCTAGCTTCTCCCATACTTCCTTCCCTGCATATCCCAACAACAGCTAGCATTATTGTGTGGTATGTTTTATTTGTGCCCAGTAGGATACACAGCACATAGCATCTCCTTGGCTCTCCACAATTCTGAGGTAGAAGCCATTTTTAGTTTTGCTTTACTAAAGGCTGAAAGAACCAGCCTAAAGTCCTATAGCCAGAAGCTGCTAGGCCAAGTAAAAACCTAGTGCTCCAGGCTGGAGAGACAGCGTCCAAATTAAAAGGCAGGAAGGTGTTATGGAAACATCAAGGTCACATTCAGGAAGTTTCTCTTTTTTTGTTTTGTTTTTTCTAGACAGGCTTTGGAGGCTGTCCTGGAACTAGCTCTGTAGACCAGGCTGGTCTCAGACTCACAGAGATCCGCCTGCCTCTGCCTTCCAAGTGCTGGAACTAAAGTTATGTGCCACCAGCTTCAGGAAGTTTCTTAATGGTCACCCTGTCAACCTAGTGTCTAGCAACAGTCACACATGAAAAGCACCAGTACCTCTATGTCCCCAAACCCACATCAGAGACTCACTGGGGATATAGAGGTCGGGAGCATTGAGGTCTTTCCGTGGGGGCAGAGGCACATCATGGCTGTATTGCATTTTCCAGTTCTGGCAGTGGCAGGGGTCACATAAGCAGGAGCAGAGAGAAAAAAAGGATAAAGGGGTTGAGGTCTGAGGACCAGGTTATCGAGAGTGGGGAGAGGCTTGCCAGCTCACCTGATGTGTGTATGGGAAGACCAACAGTCCTAGCTTCTTGGCTACATAGGCTGTGTCCACAGCAAAAAAATACTTGAGTTTGTTCACAGAGACAAAACGGTGCAGCTGGAAGTAAGAGAAAAGAGACTGTGGGTGTGTTTCTTCCCAAAAGCTGCTTGGGGAGTCAAGTGGGATCCTGTGACATCCCAACCCTAGCCAGAAACCCTGTCACCCTTTCCCTGAGCACAGGCCACACCTCTTTGTGCACTATGTCCTTCCCTTGGGATGCTATGGAACTGCCATAGGCCATAGCCATATTGGCCATTGGGTCTCCAAGCAGGTGGTTGACACTGAAGGCTACATCAGCTCCTGGGGCTAGGTATCCACCTGGTTGGCTGGAATAGCCACCACTTGTATCATCGAAGAGAGGAGGAGAATCTGGAGCTGCCCGGGTCCTGTGCTTGGAACCTACAGGTGTGGAGGTACCAAACTAGATAACAGAAATACAGAGCAAAACCCAAACCATTGCCCTTTCCCCAGGCTGAGAAGCTGTGCATAGGTCCTGGAACACCAAACAATTGTTGAGGGAAAAGTCAGAATGTGTTTGAAGAAAGATCTCTCCTTTTGGAGCAATCCTTTACTACATGCTAAAGGAAGGTGCCTAGAAGTGGCTGCCCACTCGGGATTTCTGGGAAGTCTATGAAGGGAGATGATCCCTGAATACTAGAGTTTGTACTTGAGTGCGATCACCAGAACGGCAACACTGCCTATTCGGAGTCCCTGGACAGTGATCAGGAATGCTGCCAGAGTTATAACAGAGAAAGGAAGTTCTGAAGGCGATGCCGGTTCATGCAGGATCAGACTTGGGGATTCCAGTTGTGCTATCGCAACCTAATCTCAGGACCGGCCAGCAAGGGCGAAAGTCCAGGTCACGCTGTAGTGTGGCAGGGCAGGAACCCCAGAGACACTCCCCGCCCTAGGCAGCAGTCACCGCAGGCCCCCTCCCTCCAGGTGAGTGGTCGCGCAGGGGATTTTAGCACCCTGCTGCCAGGCCGCGCCCCGCCCTCCCCACTACTCACGCACCGTGGGCTCCGTATCCCGAGTGATAAGCCATGGCCACGACGATTGCTCTACCTAAGGGTTGGCTGCGCTGAGTCGTTGGTACAAACACTACTGAAACAGTTGCTTCTCTGGCTCAGAACTGACCGAAGTTAGCAGACAGCCCGACACGTACCAGAGCTGGCCGATCGCGGCCGCCATGTCCGTCACGTCACACTCCGCTGTCTACCATTGGCCTTTCGGAGGAGCTAGTTCTGCCCTCGCACACTTCCAATTGGCTACTCGTGAGCCTTTGCCCAATCGGATTTGGCCATAGTCAACTTCCGATAGATAGGGGGCGTAGCTATTCAAGACGTTCTCCGATTGAGTAGGAGGCTTATTAATTCCAGGCACGACCGGCCAATAGGTGGGGAAGATGTGTAACTTATTTCCGCGTCTGCGCCGAGGGGCACTTGACGTTCCCTGCCACGACTACGCCGGTAGGAAGACTGAGCTCCGGACCCACACAGCTACAGAGCTGGCTCCGCCCCAACGAAGTCCAGGAGGAATGTAGCGGTCGGTCAAGCTCTGACCGATCTCTGTCCTCCGTCTTGTGTTCTCTTTCCTCCAATTCACCCAGTCCTGTAGCGGAGCCCCGGCAGGCTAGAATGTGATGTTGTTGCCTGCTTAAAGCAAGTGACAGTTCCGTCCAGAACCCTCAAACGCTGACTCCGCCTCCAACCTCCCACTCCTTTCCGAGCAGGTGCTGTCCGTCAGCCGGTGCTGAAAATGCCCTTTAGCATTCGCCGTTATCCTGCTCATCTGTGAGGGTCTCTACTGGGTGGCTTTAAGATCGTGCTCAATACATTATGTGCTCGCGCGCGTACGTCGTCTACACACGCAAACGCACGCACGCACGCACGGGGTAGTGAACAGAAAAGACCCAGAAGGTCCGAAATTCTGGAGATCTGGTGGTATACATGGGACAGGAATCCACATTGGGTCTTGTCCCATTTCCTCCAGTGGTGTGTGTGGTCTGGTGGATTTGGGAAGCAGAAGTGTGCTGATCTGTCTCCTGAAGTTGCATTCGAAGCTCTTTAGTCATCGCCAATCCTGTGATCTCAAAGTGAGGCCATTAAGCCTTGTTCCTAGTTTCCCAGACTCTTCTTCCCACCCAGGTTGTAACCACTCCCACCCTCATAGAAGACATCTCTCACACACACTGTTCTCCAGAGAGCATGACATACCCCCGATATTTGGAGTTGATTACTTAGTGTTGTTACATAAAGTGATACCTTCCTGCTCCCCAAACAGCCCATGAGAGACCAACGGCTGCTTTTGCTTCTCCACCTGGGATGCCCTTTTCCCTTCCTATCAATTCGTCTAGAGCCTTTAAGAGTCACATTAGCCTGCTTGTGAGATAGTTCAGCAGGCTGCCAATTCCAAGGCCCTAAATTCAATCCCCAGGCCCCACAGAGTGGAAGAAGAGAACTAACTCCCAAGGTCATCCTCTGATTTGCACACTTGCATAGTGGCTAAAATGCATCCCTTCACATACATCTCACCCAGAGAGAGGTACACAAAATAAACTTACATTTTAAATGGGGTGGTCACTGTAGTTCTTACATAGGGACAAAGGGAACAGAGGCCTGACCCTGGCCCAGAGTGGACACCAGAGTCTGGGTTTT